AATACTCAATGAAATCTAAAATATCAACTTTTGGACCCGTGTCGATCTCTCGTGGAATCACCCTGCTATAGCTGACTTGAACTAGCAGTGTGGTTCAAGTGCGAAGATTGCTGCGCTCGGCTTTCATAACCTGATGTATCGTGCTGCAGCTGTTGCATCTGTGGCATTCAGGCGTGACAAACAGCGTAGCGTTGCTGTAAAATAAGTGATAATTTGTTACATGCATGTCTCAGAAAAATCATATCAATTTAATATACACAGCAAACAGCCACCTAAAAATTTGCTCTATGCACGCTGTCTGAAAAGATGCTGCCTGATATAATCCGATGTCATTACATTTCGTTAATGTAAATTACCTTAGCTGCAAAAACAAACAAAAAAAACTGCCGGCAGTAAGGTGAAAACAATGTGTTTACTGAGTGAGTATACTCTTGAAACTGTAGCATTGTTAATTTCACCATGTATGGGCTTATCAACAAATGAGCAAATATTGCAAATGAGTTCTATGGAACCCGCAAGGTGGCCGAAAGGTTACGAAAGGGAAAAAAACAACCACACGTCTATCAGAAAGAAATGCCTCTTAGTTGCCGAAAAGTTCGTCATGGTTCAGGGTTCGGCAACTAAGAGGCCTTTCTTCCGGAGAAATCAGTACCGAGATTTTTTTTTTTTGTGTGTGGCTTCGTGCTGGTGGTTGTCTTCTTTCCCTTCATAGAGTTACTAAATATGCTACCTTTAGTTAGTATATACAGCAGGAATTGAGTGTGTAAATACCTCGTCCGTCAACCGTTGGACCAAACATACAAGTATCTGTTTAGTTAAATTTTCGAAATTTGAACAAGACTGCTCACGGGAAGTTATCTTTTCCCTAACTTTTCTTTCTTCACATTTACATTACAATTGGTCTAATAACTTCTTCCATATATTCTTTGGCATTATTGTCTGGTAGATCTCATTGATATTGTGCGGAAGAAACGAGCCCTTAAGTGTACAGTCTTCCCTTATTCCCATATATATATATATATATATATATATATATATATATATATATATATATATATATATATATATATATATATATATATCTATATATATATATATATATAAGGGAAAGAAGTGTATACCTAAGGGCTCGGTTTTTCCGTGTTTTGACACAATGTAATGAGATCTAACAGGCAGTAATGCCAAGGAATATATAGGGGAAGTTATTAGAACCAATGGAATGTAAATAGGAAGAAAGAAAAGTGGGTGAAAAAATAAAAATAACCAGCCGTGAGCAGGAATCGAACCTACGACCTTCCAATAACGCGTTCGATGCTATATATATACATACATACATACATACATACATACATACATGCAATGCCTCTTAGCACAGCTACTACTTTTTGGCGGTAGCCCCGCCGCGGTGGTCTAGTGGCTAAGTTACTCGGCTGCTGACCCGCAGGTCGCGGGATCGAATCCCTGCTGCAGCGGCTGCATTTCTGGTGGAGGCAGAAATGTTGTAAGGCCGTGTGCTCAGATTTGGGTTCACGGTAAAACCCGAGGTGGTCGAAATTTCCGGAGTCCTACACTACGATGCCTATCAAATCACATGGTGGTTTTCGGACGTTAAACCCCACATATCAATCAATTATTTTTTTCAGTGCATTTCCCGTCCGACTATGTTACACTTAAAATTGTTTTGAGACCTCATACTGTCGAAAAGGTGAAATCTACCGTGCGCATTTGTAAAGACACGCTATATTCAGCTTCGCTAACTCAGGTGGCCATGGCAGAATTATTATTTTTTTTTTGAAGGGGTGGGTTGTGCAGCAGAACGCCTAACTTTGGCACTTGGTGGTCGCTGTGAATGCGTGTAAATATTTCGGTATACCCCCGAAAAGGTAATATACGAAAACATTTCACCGTGGTGTCGGTGCCCTAGTTCGGATTCTCTTCTTCTCCCCTCTTATGGCTTTCTGGTTTTGCATGCGTGTCACACAGTATTTGTTCTTTAATCTCACAGCTTTCTCTGCACAGCTAACTTCACAATAAATGGGCTCAGTTATTCTGAATATTACAGACGCCTAACCAACGAAGAAAGAATTAAGAGAAAAGAAATTAGTGTTAACACACCATTTCTGAATTAGTTTCGAACTCTCACAAGGGCTTTTATGGAGCTCAAATTCAGTATGCTGGCGTCGCATAGATCAAAGGCGACATGAATGATGTGCTAGACGTGAATGATGGGCAGGTACGAAGAAATGTGCATCAAGAAAGCGCGACGGAGTAGCTGAAGCGCATAGCAGTGGTAGGTGTTCTCCAGCTTCACGCATATCACGCGCGCTGTTCGAGAGTTTTTGACCTTTCCCTGAGTCTACCAAGTTTTTGATTCTGTTTTGGCGCCTTTCACTGCAACTCAGTATGAAGCATGCTTTAGCTTTCGTAAGAACTTTGTCAATGTTTCGTGGTTGCAAACATTGATTTTGATCGAAGGCTCAGTTGTGCAGCTTCAGCAGAACTTGTAGTGGGTCTGGTTGGTTCATTGCAATATAAGAAGAGAAGTTCTTTGGCGCAAACAATACGGAAAAAGGAAAAAGAACTTCACTGTGCAGTGAAACGTTTAACCGGCGTCGCGATTTGTTTCACGCCTGTATACGTGTGCCCATTTTGAACGGCAGGCTGCGATGCTATTTATAAAATTAATGCGGGCCAATTATGACTTGTGTGAATGCATGCTGAAATTAGAGTCATAAGAGCTTACATAGCGGTATCCTAAATTTGTAATCGATTCGAATTTAGAACCAGGGTTCCAACTGCAATCGAACCCCGGTTTTCTGCGTGTGTTCTATCGCAGAGCTACGCCATCTAGGTGCTATTTAACCGGGCTGCCTTTGCATTGAATTAAATAAAGGTATTCATACCTTCTTCAGTATCGTATGTCTCACACCTGCACGCATTTGCAGTCTATAGAAATAAAAAACAAGAGTGGACATTACCATACAACCCGGTGGCCTAATCGACCCTAGCGCACCTGGTGGTTGGCGAGAGCACGAGCTGCTGTACTTCTGACCCGCCCAGATTGCCCCTTTCCGGCGCCCACGTCTAGTTTGTACCTTCCGACGCTGGGGCCGTAACTTACGATTCGTGTGGTGCTAGTCAACACCTGTTCGCTGACATCATATTTAGCGTTTGTGGTCATATTTTGGCAAACAAAGCACTCATATTGCATAAATATTATCTATAAAAGCAAAGTAAGTCGTAAACAAATATACTAGAAGTTTTTTAGACTTTTTTACCAAATAAATGGATGCGACACCACATAGGCTGTCATACACTATAAGATTGCACAGGTTCCCACGTTTGTCACCCCTGAGCAATAAATACTTAACCGCAATGAATAGCTAATTACTTGACCCTTTTAGGTTGCATAAACGAACGCATATATGTCAGTTTTTCAATCTCAGAATGCGGGAGTTCTTACTCCAGCCGCCAGCGCCGTCCAAACAGCCGTAGAGTAGCAAGTGAACAGGTTATAGGTAGCGCCACCAACAGTGAGTGATTGAACGAGAGCGGGGACACGCGCTCCCATATGAATCCTGATATCCGGGCAGGTCAGGAGTACAGTAGGTCGTGGTTGAAAGCAACTGGCCTGCGTTTCCCATTTCGATTGTTTCATCGGGGCGAATTCTGAATTACTGTGCAAACCGACGTTTAGCTATGGCGAAAGAGAATTACTTCAGACCACTTTTCTTCTGCCCAATGACAAGGCTATTGTTTGTCAATTTGATTTAGCGATTTCCTAATTTGTCTAGCTCAAAATTGTTTGCGCTAATTGTGGTCATCGTGTAACTTTTATTTCGACTAATGTATAATAGAAAGAGATGAAGGTAGTCATAATTTACAATACGGCTTTGTTCATCACGCTCGTTTTTTTTTGTGAAACAAACGGTCAATTCATACATCAACCAATGTTTTATTTCCAAGGCAAGGTAAACGCTGAGCACATAAAAGGCACAAGATGAGACAGAACTGCTTTGCTATGCTGTATACGTCGCACAATGTTCACGTCTTGTCTCCACATACAGCCGCAAACTGTATTTTTAGCGAACGTGGTCGTCCACACTGTTTCATTCGTGGTGTGGAATGAACAGACAGGACAGCTACTGGGAGTAGTTAACTACTCCCAGTAGCCTTTGGACAGCCAATTTGTCCAGAGGTCTTGGCATTTTCAAAAGACCGTCAACAAGATCAGGATTCGGCCTAATATCCTTGTTGCTAATGATGTCACCCAAAAAGAGCACTTCCTGTTGGCCGAAAAAGCTGGCCTTATCTTCAATGCCTTTGGATGCAATGAAGGAAAGGCCTGCTTTTTTAGCTGTTTCTAATGCTCTACGCAGCCTCTCATCATGCTCAGCCCTGGTCCCTCTCCAAATTAACCCATCGTCGACGTAAACGTGTACACCGGCAAGACCATCAAAAACCTCGTTAAGGGCCTTTTGAAACACTTCGCTCATTGACGCTATACCGAACGGTAGACGAGGAAAGCGATACCGGCCGAAAGGCGTCGCGAATGTGCACATCTTCGACGATTGTTCGTCTAATGCGATTTGATGAAATCCCGCATTTGCGTCGAGCAGCGAAAAGAACTTCGCGCCTGCCAAGTCTGCTTCTATATCCTCTCGGCGTGGCATTAGGTAGTGTTCCCTCTTGATGTTTTCGTTGATGCGTCTAAGGTTCATGCAGACCCGCAATTTGCCGTCTTTCTTTAATACAATGACAAGGGGGCTTACCCAATCTGTGGGGCTGCTGACCTTCTGGATAACGCCCTCCTTTTTCATTCTGTCCAGTTCAGTACGTAGAGGCTCACGCAAGGACAGGGAATTCTCCGAGTGTGCTGGACGACTGGCACGGCATCCCTGTGCAGCTCAATCTTGTATTCACGTGGGGCGCACCCCGTTCCGTGGAAAAGACGTGGAAACTCCTTGACAATTTCTTCGCTGTCATTCGTCGTCACGCTGTCAACAGCCCGCTGTAAGCTTCTCGCTGTTGTCCAATCCTAAGGTAGTGCTGTGGTCCTTCTTTACTACAAAAAATTCTGCGCACGCCTTGCGACCACCAATCCCGATAAGCGCTGAAAACTTGCCGATGTGCTTGATCGTGTTGCCACCATATGATCTCAGAACTGCGCTACTGGGCATCAGGGTTGTCGTCTTGAGCTTGCGAAACATTGAAAGTGGCAGAACATTGGCCTGTGATCCTGTGTCCACCTTAAAAGGGGTGTACTTGCGCCAATGCATACGTCCACACGCCAGTCCCGTTCTCTGCTTGCGCAGCTGCTGGCGACATTCAGTACTTCGAAGTCGTCGCTCTGATGTTGCACTTCATACACGCGCTCTTT